TAAAAGCTGAGCATGTATGTGTATTTGTGAGAACGTGAACAAGCTTGGGTTGTAAGAAAAAAAACAAAAACAAAAAAAATTCCAACTCATAGTGACCCCTCCTTGGGTTTCCGAGGCAGTATCACTATGGAAGTAGATCACCTAATCTTCCTTCTGAGGAGTGGCTGGTGGGCTTGAACCCACCAGCCTTGTAGTTAGCAGTCAAATGCCTTAGGCACTATGCCATCAGAGTTCCTTGGGTTGTAAGAGGGGAGAACAACTTTGCATCAAGGATTAGAACATCTCACCTTAGAAGAAAAAAAACAAATTCCTAACAAATTTGTCAATGTTGCTAATGATTCGGGGGATAATAGATGTTATTTGATCTACAACTTGCCTCCATGTCTGAAACGACAAAATATTCTGCACCAAATTTTATAGTGGAATGGTGTCTTTATTTACATGGTCTTTTAAATATATTCTTTGGTATTATATTCTACATCATACCATAAATTAAAGTTATTTTCAAAAAGCAGAACTAAAACATTATATAACAATGAATAAATTTGGGCATAACTAAATTATTGGGCATAACTCCAATTATAACTTTAGTAATTATTGTTTATCTTCATGGGCTTACTTTTCTTTTTCTTCCAATTACCATGTTGCTCTGGCTGTTGCAGTATGCCATCAAGTTGATTCTAATTCATAGTGACCTTATAAGAAAGACCTGAACTGCCTTACAGGGCTTCCAAGGCTGCAATCCTTATGGAAGCAGACTGACACATCTTTCTCCCACAGAGCAACTGGTGGGTTTAAGCTACTAAACTTTGTTAGCAGCTGAGCATTTTAACCACTGCACCACCAGGGTTCCTCATATTACTCCTACTCCTAATTAAACATCTACATTCTAATATTTTTGACATAATATACCTTATTTAATAAAACTCATCATAAATTTACCTATATGCATATTATGCTTCATAACAAAGAGCCATAAACAAACAATAACACCAATGATTGTGATGTTGTTGTTCTTGTTAGATGCCGTCATTTCTGACTCATAGAGACCCTATGCACAGCAGAATGAAACACCACCCAATCCCACACCAGCTCCATGATCCTTGCTGTACTTGAGTCCATCATCATCACAGCCACCATGTCAATCCATCTTATTGAAGGCCTTCCCCTCTTTTGTCGACCCTCCACCTTACCAAGCATGATATCCTTCTCCAGGGAATGGACCCTTCTGACAACATAAGCAAAGTAGGTGAGACGAAGTCTGGCCATTCTTGCTTCCAAAGAGCATTCCAGGTGCACTTCCTCCAGGACAGATCTGTTAGTTCTTTTAGCAGTCCATGGTACTTTCACCATTCTTTGCCAGCACCACAACTCAAAAGCATCAACTCTTCTGTCTTCCTTATTCATTGTCCAGTTCTCACATGCATATGAGGTGATTGGAAATACCATGGTTTGTGTCAGGCGCACCTTAGTCCTCAAGGAGACATCTTTGCTCCTCAGCACTTGGAAGAGGTCCTTTGCAGCCGATTTGCCCAGTGCTATACATTGTCTGATGTCCTGACTGCTGCTTCCATTGACGTTGATTGTAGAAACAAGCAATGTGAAGTCTTTGACAACCTCAATCTTTTCTCCATTTACCATGATGCTGCTTATAGGTCCAGTTGTAAGGATTTTTGTTTTCTTTATATTGAGATGTAATCCATACTGTGGACTGTATTCTTCAATCTTCATCAGTAAGTGCCTCAAGTCATCCTCACTCCCAGCAAGCAAAGTTGTGATTGTGATATCAGATAAAAATGTTTTTACCTTTGGTTTCACATGAGAAGTTTTAGTATAAATCCATTACCCAAGAAATATTTTAAGCAGCAGTAGAAAGCATTGTGAACCCAGGACATAATATATGGCCTAGGCTACTGAATTGCTTGTAGTCTAGTAAGAAAAGGCATATATGCCAATCCCATATGCTCAAAGAGCTCTAGGATCAAAAAGAAAAGTCTGACTAATTTTGCTTGGGGGAAGACTTTAGAAGAGGGGGACATCTGAACTGACACTTCAAGAACCACCATTCTTTGTCAGGTAAATAGGAGTGATAGGTATGTGACACTTGTGATCCTGAACAACTTCATATTGCCTTATCTGTGCTTTTATCTTTTTCTTTCTTCTTAATAGCTGATGGGTAAAGGCACAGATGTCCAGTCACTCCCCTCTTTCAATTTCAAAAGAAAATACCAAAAAGAATACCCAGGCATCAATGGCTACTATTATATTTCTAAAATGTAATTTGACTACATTTATATTATAACAATTTTTCTAGGGATTTTTGTGGTTCCTTGATATTAATACATTGTTTGGTTCCATAAAGTTTGTAAAGAAATGAAATACATATTATTCTTATATAATTACATATGTTATTATATATATAATTTATTTGAGATATCATCATAGAGCTTTGGATTTTTTGCCTTTGGTGTTTTCTGGTTAATTCATGTAAATAATGAAATAATTAAATATGGATATTTTTCACAGAATGCTGTGTTAGTACCACATAATTGTAAAGGCCATCAAGATAGATCATTATTTAGCATGCTTATGAAGAGGGATACCTTCTTTGTTAACATAAACATAAATTACTAGAACTTTAAAATGTAGTCATGTTCAAATTTTAATTATTATTTTCTGCACTTAAATTCCAGGTCAAGATAACTAAATGGCGCATATATTATACCTGCTTCCTCCCATAAGCCTGCTAAAGGTAATGAAAATCTGTTTTTGAATTAATAGCATAAATCACAGTTACAAAGAGGAAAAGAGTAATCTGTGGAAAGAGATATCAGCTAATAACTCAATGATCAAGGAAACACAGATGTGGAATTCTGACTTTACTCCCCCTCCGTCACTGCAGTAACTTGGTGATGCCTCTGCCCCACAGGGTCTATAGGTAGAATGCTGACTTCCATCCCTGCCTTGAAGAAAACCAGGAAACTTTTCTCCCCAGAGGAATCAGTAACAGAATAGGACTTCCATCTTTCTCCTTTTCAAGTAGCTCAGAAAAACCTGAACAGGCTACATCCAAAGAAATACACACCTACCACTGCCATCAAGTTGATTCCAACTTTATAGCACAGAGCAGAACTGCCCCATAGGGTGTCCAAGGCTGTAAATCTTTACAGAAACAGACTATCACATCTTTGTTCTGCAGCGTGGTAGTGAGTTCCAACTGCTGACTTTCTGGTGAGCAGCCCAATGCTTTAACCACAGCACCACCAAAGCTCCTTAATACACACTTAGACACATCATAATCAGACTTCTGAAAAGTCAAGGCAGAGAAAAATGCTTGAAAATAGCCAGAAAGAAAAGACAAATTATCTACAACTATTCAAATTATTTACAACTATTCAAATGACAGATTTCTCATCAGAAACCACAGGGGCCAAAAGGAAGTGGTACAACCTTTTCCAAGTGCTGAAAGAAGAAAGAAAAAACATACCTGTAACCCAGAATGTTCTCTCTATTGAAACCATCCTTCAAAGCTGAAGGTGAAATGAAGATGTTCTCAGATGAAGGAAAGCTAAGGAATTTTATCACCAGGAGACACTCAGAAAGAATGGCTCAAAAACAAAGGAAATTCTTCAGAGGAAAAAAAAAAATTAGAATGGAACAAAATTAGGAACATAAGGAATAAAGAAAAGGCAAAGGGAAGAGTAAAGATATAGGTAAATATAACAAAGTATTTTTCTCCTTTTGAGCTTTTAAAATTATACTTGACAGTTAAAAGCAAAAAGTATGAGGCTCAATGTATGTAGCAGAAATATCGAAGACAACTATACCATAAACAGAGGAGTATAAAGGCACATACATTATGATAGAATATGTATATTCCAATTGAAATGGTAAAATGTTGGTATTAGTGGACTATGGTAAGATGTATTTCTCACTCCCTAGAGGAGCCCCTTTAAAAAAACATACCAAGAGATATACTAAAAAATAACTAGATAAATAGAATACTAGAGAATGTTAAGAAACATGCAGAGGGTCAGGAGAAGGAAAACACAAAAATCAGGTAACAGATAATGTTAAGGTGTATACACTTAAATCCCAATTACCAAATCATATCAAATCTAAATTGTCAAAACATAGACACTAAAACATGAGAATAATTTGGATATTCTTATCAAAATTAAGAATTTACTTATGCTTTGAGAGAATAATTCTACAACACAGAATCCTAGAAAACATCCATATCAATGGACAAAAACACATTCACAGAGATGCTACTTACAGCATTGTTTGTACAGGTAAAACACTCATCATAAACTAAATAACTATCAGTATGGAATCAGCAAAATAAACATATCTTGGTTTTATCTATACAATGGAGCACAAGGCAAACCAAAAAAAACCAAATTCACTGCTGTTGAGTCAATCAGACTCACAGCGACCCCTCCTTGGATTTACGAGGCAGTATTTCTACGGAATTAGATTGTCCAGTCTGCCTTCCAAGGAGTATAAGGCAGATCAATATATAGTAGTGAAGAAATTATTTTGGATAGAATAGTTTACAAATTGTTAAGAATTATAAGATCCTATTGCTGCTATTAATTCTATACAGTAGGTAGCACATGTTTACATGAATAGAAAAAAGTTAAGGAGGATATCCATAAATGGTTTACTGTGATTGCCTGTTCAATGTAGAAAGTGAAAATTCCCTGACTTTCTACTTTGAACACTTTAGTACTGTTTAAATTTTCTTTACTAAAAACACATATATTTTTAATAATAAAGCAATAACAATGAAACATTTCTATTTGGAAAAAATAACTGAATGATTGAAAAGTAATTATTCATACATACTACAGATCTTAGCCACCACTTGTTTGCCAGTCTGTCCCACTGTAGTGGCTTAAATGTTGCTGTGAGGCTGGAGGCTATGCCACAGGTACTTCAAACATCAGCAGGATCAGCCATGGTAGACAGGTTGCAGCAAAGCTTCCAGACTAAGATAAACTGGGAAGATGGATGAGGTCATCCAATTCTGAAAAACTGGCCAGTGAACAGTCTTGTGAATAACAGTGAAACACTGTCTGATATGTTATTGGAAAACTTTATGAAGAGCCATGAAACCCTGTCTGATATAATGCCAGAAGATGAGCCCCTCAGGTTGGAAGGCACTCACAATACAACTAGGGAAAAGCTGCCTCCTCAAAGTAGAATCATAGAGTCAACTTTAATGATATGGATGGAGTAAAGCTTCCGGGACCTTCATTTGCTGATGGGGCACAACTCAAAATGGGAAGAAATAGCTGAAAACATCCATTAGTAATTGGAACATGGAAGGTATGGAGTATGAATCTAGGAAAACTGGATGTTGTCAAAAATGAAATGGAATGCATAAAGATCAATATGCTAGGCATTAGTGAACTAAAATGGACTGGTATTGGCCATTTTGAATCAGGCAATGATATGGTCTACTATGCCAGGAATGACAAATTGAAGAGGAATGGTGCCACATTCATCATCAAAAAGAACATTTCAAAATTTATCCTGAAGTACAGTGCTGTCAGTGACAGGACAATATCCATATGCCTACCAGGAGGACCAGTTAATATGACTATAATTCCAATTTATGCACCAAACACCAAAGAGAAAGCTGAAGAAATGGAATATTTTTACCAACTTCTGCAGTGTAAAACTGACCAAACATGCAATTAAGATGTATAGATTATTGCTGGCGATTTGAAAGCAAAAGTTGGAAACAAAGAAGAATCACCAGTAGTTGGAAAATATGGCCTTGGTGATAGAAATAAAGCTGGAGACTGTGTGACAGAATTTTGAAAGACCAACAGCATATTCACTGCAAATATCTTTTCAACAAAACAAACGGTGACTATACACATGGACCTCACCAGATGAATTACAAAGAAATCAAATAGACTACATCTACGAAAAGAGATGATGGAGATGCTCAGGGTCATCGTCAAAACAAAGCCGGGAGTTGAATATGAAATAGACCATCAATTGCTCATATGCAAGTTCAAGTGGCAGTTGAAAAAAATTAAAATGAGTCCACAAGAGCCAAAATATGACCCTGACTGTATCTCACCAGGATTTAGAGACCATTTGAAGAACAGATTTGAAATGCTGAACAAAAGTGAGTGAAGACCAGATGAGTTGTAGGATGACACCAAGAACATCACACATGAAGAAAGCAAAAGATCATTAAAAAGACAGGAAAGGAAGAAAAGACCAAAATGGTTATCAGAAGAGATTCTGAAACTTGCTCTTGAATGGAGAGTAGCTAAAGTGAAAGGAAGAAATTTGAAATAAAAGAGTGAACAGAAGATTTCAAAGGGTGGCTCAGGAAGTCAAAGTGAAGTATAATAATGAAATATGCAATGACCTGGAATTAGAAAAACAAAATGGAAGAACATGCTCAGCATTTCTTAAGCTGAAAGAACTGAAGAAAAAATTCAAGCCCGGAATTGCAATACTGAAGGATTCTATGGGCAAAATATGGAATGATGCAGGAACCATCAAAAGACAATGGAGGGAATAAACAGAGTGACTCTACCAAAAAGAATCCATCAATGTTCAATTATTTCAGGAGGTAGCATATAATCAAGAACCAATGTTACTGAAGGAAGAAGTCCAAGTTGCACTTGGAAGGAACTGACAGAAAACCAACTGAGGTATTTCAAAAAATGGATGCAGCACTGGAGGCACTTTCTCCTCTGTGCCAGGAACTTTGGAAGACAGCTACCTGGCCAACTGACTGAAAGAGATCCATCTTTATGCCCATTACAAAGACAAGTGATCAACAGAATGTGGAAATTATCTAACAATATCATAAATATCACATGCAAGTAAAATTTTGCTGAACATAATTTAAAAATGGTTGTATATTGACAGGGAACTTCCAGAAATGCAAGCTAGATTCAAAAGAGGATGTGGCATAAAGGATATCATTGCTGATGTTAGATGGATCTTGGCTGAAAGCAAAGAATACAAGAAAGATGTTTACCTGTGTTTTATTACCTGCATGGTTTAAAGTCAGGAAGGGTGTCAAGGTTGTGTCATTTTAGCATACTTATTCATCTGTATGCTGAGCAAATAATCTGAGAAGGTATATTATATGAATAGGAACATAATGTCAGGATTGGAAGAAGACTCATTGATGACCTGCAATATGCAAATGACACAACCTTGCTCACCAATAGTGAAGATAACTTGAAGCACTTATTGATTGAGATAAAAGATTATAGTCTTCAGTATGGATTACATCTCAGCATAAGAAAACCAAAAATCCTCACAACTGGACAAATAAGAAACATCGCAATAAATTGAAAAAAAAAATTAAATTTATCAAAGATTTCACTTTATTTGGATCCACAATCAACACTCACAGAAGCAACAGTAAAGAAATCAGATGTCGTATTGCACTGGGTCAATGTGCTGCAAAAGACCTCATTAAAGTGTTGAAGAGCAAAGATGTCACTTTGAAGACTAGGGTACACCTAACCCAACCATGGTATTTTCAATCACCTCCTACACATGTGAAAGCTGGACAATGAATAAGGAAGACCAAAGAAGAATTGATACCTTCCAATTGTGGTTTTGGTGGAGAATTCAAAATACCATGGACTGCCAGAAGAATGAACAGGTCTATCCAGGAAGAGGTGCAGGTGAAATGCCCATTAGAAGCAAGAATGGCCAGACTTAGTGTCACCTACGTTGGTCATGTTGTCAGACGGGACCATTCCCTGTAGAAGGATATCATGCTTGGTAAAGTGGAGAGTCTGCAAAAGAGGGGAAGACCCTCAACAAGATGGATTGACCCAGAGGCTACAAGATGTGCTCAAATATATAACAAGGATTGTAAGGTTGGTGCAGGACAGGGCAGTATTTCGTGCTGTTGTACATAGGGTCCCTGAAGTCAGAATCGACTTGACGGCACCTAACAACAACATAGATCAGAGAAACATTGTTCTTCAAATGTAATGTTTAAAATATCACTGGGTGTGAAAAAAGCATTTGTTTATATTCTAGGTGTGTAGGCTCTACCCCAGAGACTGACTCAAGAGATCTGAGGTGGGACATGGAAGCAAGTATTTAAGAAGTAAGACAGCGGGTGTGGATGTGGGTCTACTGTTAATTGTTAGGTGTGGTCCAGTCACATATGGTTCACAGTGCCCCTGTATACAGCAGAATGAAAGAATGCCAGTCCTGTGCCATCTTCACAATCGTTGCTATCCTTGAGCTTATCACTGCAGCCACTGTGACAGTGCATCTTATTGAGGGTCTTCCTCTTTTCTGCTGACCCCCTACTTTACCAAGCATGATATTTGTGGTAAAGGTTATGTGTTAACTTGGGTGGGTCTGGTTTTGAGTGGCTGGGCTCATGATGAGAGTGCTAATCAACTCCATGGTGGAATCTACCATGAGCAGCTGAGTACCTGCCTGAGGGCTGTGGTCTGCTTCCAGCATAAAAGGAGATGCTTTGAGAAAGTCTCTGAGCTTCTTGGCACATTTGGATCTTGAATTTGGTCGAGTCATCAGTGAGGGGACTGCCACATTGTCTGTCGATCTTGGGACTGTTT